GACCATGATAGTATCTGTAGAAAAGAGAAAGAGATGCAACTTTACGACGATGGGAAAGAGGTTCAAGCTTAGCAGATAGTCCAGGTCCAACAACATTTACAATGCGTTTTTGGACCTTGTCAAGAAGAGAGAGTGAATCGTTAGAAGAACCAGCCCAAATATGACAACAGTATTCCATACAGGGACGAATAAGAGATTTGTAGAGGTAGAGAATGGAATCATAAGTAAGGAAATGGCGAGCACAATAAAGAGAAGCAACCTTAGCAGAAGCTAATTTAGCAATCGATTGTATATATGGTTTCCATGAAAGGTCAGTAGTAAGCGATAATCCAAGAAGACGTAAAGAGGATTGCTATTCATTAATATAGGAATGTTGACCATATTACGGTAGTTGTTTGCAGTAAGCAATTGGGTTTTTTTAGAGTTGAAATTCACAAGCTACTTAAATCAGTTTGCTTTTTTCCTAATTTTTTAAAATGAATTTCTACATAAAAAATACAGCAAATATAATAATATTTCGCAATTTTCATATACATGGATGTGTTCAATTCATGTGTTACTCATTATTCAATAAAGTTTCATCCTTTTACTGTGACTTTTCCTTGTGCTCCAAAAGTTATTATACATCTAGTTACCTCGTACATTAATTTCTTGGAATTTGCTTCCTTCATTTTATTTTCCTGGTTCATATAACGTGCAATCTTTTATTGTTCGTATCTTTATAAACTTCATCTTTTCTTTTACAATAACTTCCAACTCTAATAGTGGTTGCTTGCAGCCTTGTTAGAAGTGACGATGTTTAAAAAAAATAAAAATCATAAATATATAAATATTTGGAGTTTGCTCTCTGTCTGGAAATTAGCTTAAACATCTAAAAATGCTACACCCGCTACTGATATACTAGTATCTATATTAAAAGGTAATATATGAGGTTTGTTACTAAGACAATGAGCAATAAATAAACCCTTAGCTATAAATTTTTAGTCGTGACTTGCTTTAGCAAAAGTAAATTAATCTGTCTAAACGAGGCATCTAAACTGATATAAATTGAGAGATTTTTGCACCACTTTAGTTACCAATTTTTTAAGGACAGTTTTTCTTGTTTACGAATGGTTTTAACATAATTTTTAATGGTGTTTGGTATGCTACTATGAAACTCTTTATCGTCTTTTATTCTTTTAACAACCCTTTTGTTTCGTAAGCCTTTAAAACTATAAAATAAGTTTATTAAACGAGCCTTATTTCTGAACTTGTTTGTATTTTTCCCAAATCTAAACTTTTCGATAATTAATTTTTCAAAAAATAAAAAATAATAACTGACGTTGTTAAATACTTTGTTTGCTTAACATTTTATATAAGATCACCTTACTGTGTTATAATGACTTCCAAACAGGCTATTGTGTATTAATACCTATCAGATAATCAAGGAATAAAAATTAACATGAGTTGAGAAATACATAAAAAACATGTATTAAAATGCGTAAAATAAATGCATTCAACCTAAAAGCATTTTGACATTTGAAAAAGAAGGGCGACTTTTAATGTTTATTTAAAAAATTTAAAAATTTTGGTAAAGGATGAATGTTAGTGTTGAGAAATCAAACACCCATTCCGACCATGAGATGATCAGTACCATGAAGTATAAACTTTTTATTTCTCTAAATAAGATTTTCATTTAAGTACTTTCATAGTAAAATGCAGGAAACCAAAATCTAAATCAGTATAGAAAATATTAAACAATTAGTCATTAGAATAATTATGCATTAGAAATTAATAAAACTCTCTATTTCTTTTTTCTGTCTCTAGTTTAAAACCCAACAACTACCAAATTACAATGTTTTTAAAAAATTAACAGTTTTAAGGAATTTCTTATACGCACAATGAGAATGCACGTAGTTTGTTAAATTTTCTTTAAGAAAAAAAAAATAAACTATAAAACCGAGTTTAGAGTAGTGTTCATTTTAAACGTACAATGAGAATGCACAAAAGGTGTTAGTTTTTTCTTTAAAAAAAAAATTAAAAAATTCCTTTAAAAAAAAATTGAGCTGAATATGCTCAAATATTTTTTGAGAATAAGTTTGAAAATAAACTTTTTGAGAATAAAGCTATTTGAAAAAACTTGAACAAATCAATTAGAAGATGTAGTTTCGCTTACAAAATTAACATTGATACTGTTAATTAAAATTATTAATTTTTAGTTTTGTACATAAAAAATTCATGTTTAGAAACAAATGGTATTATTTTTAAAATGTATTTTATGTACTTTGCATAAGATATTTACTTTAAGTTTAAGCAGTAGCATAAAAAAAATATTGACGTAATATTAATGTCGTATATTTAAGGCGTAACATAAAGTCGTCCACATATATGTCGACATATATGCTTATTCCCAAAACCTATCATTAAAGCTTAAAAATTTTAAAAAAAACCTTCTGTTATTAGATATTACAAAAAAATAATACAATAATAATTATAATAAATAAAGTAATAATAATAAAAATAATAATACAAAGCTAATACGGTAACCGTATTAGCTTTATATTATTATTACGGTAACGTACGGTAACTTTGTATTATTATTTCTATTATTAATTAACCTATGCCTTATAAGATTTTTAAAATTTTTAAAAATTATTTTAAAATTCATTCCATGTCAATATATTATTTCAAGTATTTTTAGTTTAGGGCTTTTTTTTTTATTGCGAACGTAACGAGTTTATACTGATTATAAATTAGTCATTACCATTAATACGTTTTACAAATATAAATAAATACACTTATCTTTTGTACTCAAAATAGTATTCCTAAGGTTGTTTACGTTTATATATAAATTTAAGTTATTGAAGTAAGATAAGAAATAATTATTGATCCTGGTGAGAAACTTTATTTTTCTGTTTTCCATTTTTGTTCAACTTAATGTCAAACAATGAAATTTTAGTACTTATTTATATTTATATTTATAATAATGAAATAATGTTACTAGCTGTCTCGAACTAATCTCTTAGTGATCATCGTGGCCAAGTTGTTAACGTTATTATTAGAAATGTCACAAGCTAGCCGATTTCCCACCAGGATATCGCGTATAATTTTTTTCTGAAAAAAGTATTGTGTTTATTTGTTGTTGCATTTTAATTTGACTTCGATGTGGTGATTTAAATGATTTATTAAGTTTACTTGACTAGCTCAAATAATATAAAACATTATAATGTTTTATATGAGCTAGTCAAGTAAACTTTATAACGGCTTTTTTTTCTTTGTATAAGTTCATTATAATCTAAAAAGAAAATTTTGTATAGCAAAAAATGAACAAGCAAATAAAGAACAATTCTAGAAATTTGCCCGTCACTTCAAATATTACGGGTAAATTATGGAACTCTTGAAAATGTGCTTTTGCTCTATAATTTGTTTATGAATGAACATTTATTTTCATGAAATAAGTATTCAATGGCCTTCTTTTAAATAAAATTTTATACTTTTATATACAATTTATATTTTCCTATGTTGTTTATTACGAACTTACGTTTGCTTTCATTAATGCTACGATAAAATGGTAAGTTTACACGATTTTTAAATTTATACGTTTTTATTTCATTAATACGATTTAATGTCATTCAAAGCGTACGAAAGAAACGAGTTTAAGTTGGGCGTAAAAACTTCTTCAGACCGTTCCTTCACAAACGCGTTCCTTAAACAAATAGTTGATTAAGCTAATTAAAACGCTCACTTTTCCTCGTTAAAAGCGTTTCTTGGCAATCAATGCCGAAGCAACTCTAATTGCGTCTTTTGAAACTACTATTAAGCGCCGATTATTGTTTTGGTTCAAAATATAGGAGCGAATTTAGGCAAACTATTTTTTCAATCAACTTAAACTTAAAACGAAGTTATATTCAAGTAAATTTTTCAATTTGTTTTAGAAAGGACAGCTTTTTTCATGTTTAATTAAAAAAAATCAATAAGTTAGACAGAAATTTCCTGTCTAGATTGTTTTTATAGACAATATAAATTTTGATAATGTAAAGTATTTTTACATAATAAATCTGGCATTTATTAAGCATGACAACGTGTGCCAAAACCTAATCCGATATCGTATTAAGCATCTAAACATACTTTAATTGTAACGTGTTTTTGTTTTTGTTAACCTTTGGGATGCTTTTATTTGTTTGGGTTGTTGAGTATCATCGCGTGCTACCTGTTGTGACTAACATTCCTTTTCGAAAATATAATAATTGTATTATTAGATTAATTAATTATTTATAGATGGAAATCGGCGCTCTTCAAGAATTCTTTTTACATTAAATCGCGTTTGAACATGTCTCTATGACACCAAAGGTTCAAAGTTAAAGCAAAAATATTCTGCATAAACTTATCTTCAGTATGATATGATGCATAATAATATTTAAAAAAAAAATAAAATTAAATTCTGAAAAGTTAAAAAAAGTATATTTCTTTTACATGAAATTATCAATATAATAATTTATTAAGACAAATTTGACATAAAAAACAACTACATATTTATATTTTTATTATTATTACTATTATTGTTATTATTATTGTTGTTGTTGTTATAATAATAATAACAAAAATAATAATAATAATAATCAAACTCATCATCATCATCATCATCATCATCATCATCATCATCATCATCATCATCATCATCATCATCATCATCATCATCATCATCATCATCATCATCATCATCATCATCATCATCATCATCATCATCATCATAATCATAATCATCATCATCATCATCATCATCATTAGAATAAACATATGATGATATCATATGTTTATTCATATTATATCATTATATATATATATATATATATATATATATATATATATATATATATATATATATATATATATATGTATATATATATATATATATATATATATATATATATATATATATATATATATATATATATATATATATATATATATATATATATATATATATATATAATCAGAGAAGTTTAAAACTTTTTTTTAGATATAAATATATATTTAAATAAAAATTATAATTTTTAATAATGTCATTAAATCAACCAAGATTTTCATCTTCCTTATCACCAATTACCTCTGCAGCTCAAGTAGTTTTATCTTCATCTAATTTAACTTCAGCAACTGCTGCTACTATTTTGAATTCTGTTACTAATATCAGTTCTGGTAATATAGCCAGTACAAGTTATGGCCAAAATTTAAATATAAAACATCTAAGAAAAAGACCATTGCAAACTCATCCGATATCTTTTGGTTCAAGTCAAACTAATATTACTGATAAATTAAATGACATCACATGGTAAGCTTTTTTCTTAAAATAATTATTTTATTTTGAACTAATACAAAGTTTAGATTCACCTAAAAAAAGTTTTTTTAATTTTTAAATACATAAGTTTTGATGCTACAAAATTTAAAAAGTTTTTTATGCTTGTTCTTAAATTTAGTTTTATTAAAACCAACATTGATATACTGTTAGAGTATTTAAAAAATTTTTTTTTTATTATACTTAGATAATAAATTTTTTATTATACTCAGATATAGACTTAACTCTCTAACTCTTAACTTTTATTCGATGTATGTACACTGTATTCTCTTTTATTAATATTAGTCAATATATGCACATTTATTTCAAAGTCTTCCTATTTAAATCAGTCAATGGATATACACTAGGGATATGACTAAAAATATTTTATTGATTTTTATTCCCCATGCTATAGTCAGAAGAAATATTATGTTTAAACAAAAAACGCCATAGGAAAGCATCTACTTTTTAAAAAGGTCATGTCCGTGACACCTGGTGACATGGTATGTGCCATTAATCAACAAAAATGTTTTTTCCCAGTGAATACTAATTTGATTTCAAAAGAAGTAATATTTTATAGAAATTTCTTAACCAAATACTTTTGCACAAAAACTCTACAAAAAATAATATGGGGATAATCTTTCAAAAATAATCATACCCCTAATGTACACTCTGCTGCAACTATTTGTTAATAGTATGTACACTCAACTTGTGTTAAAATTTAGTTTAACACTTGCAACAACCTGTTAAAATATTACTTTTTTTGAAAAATGTGATAAATTATTTTACTTTGCAGTCAAAGAAAATAGTGGTAATAGTTAAAATAAATTATGAAACTTTTTGTGGAAGTTCAATATATAGACAATCACCAAAAAAAGATTTAAATACCTATACCAATAAACTTATGACAAAATTTCAGTCTTTTAAGTGTGATGCTTTTTTAGTTTAAAAAGAGACCTAAAATATAACGCAAGTAATATTTTATTGCAAAAAAGTTAAAATAAAAAGTAAAACAATCTTGAAAGAAAAAGTGTATATACGTACGAAACACAAGTACACTAATTTTTTATATCTGATTTAGATAACTCATAATACCGTCATGATCATTGTTAGAAAGATTATTGTTATGAGCATTTTTACCCTTAATGGATGGAGCAATTATTTGACATATTGCTTTGCCAAATAGATAAAAACTGGCTTCATTAACTGACATCATTAGTTCATTTCAAAGTTACTTTGTTCAGATCAAAACTGGCATCATTAGTCCATTTTAAATTTAATTTGTTTCTATGCATTAACTTCACATCTTGCAAATGGCTGTAAGGTAGCTCGATTGGCTTGCCAGTAAAACCTTGGTACAACATCTTGCACAAAAAAGCCACAGTTCTCTGCAAAGTTCATATGAATAAGACATGTGTTTTGATGAAATGTTCTCTGATAAGTAGGAAGATTGTGCTTCTTCAATAAAGTAATGTGACAAAGAATGTATAAAATTTCACTTACAGTTTTAATAAACTCAGTAATGCTTGCTTGAATTGTAATTGGTCAGTTGATACCCATTGTTTGTATGTGGCATGTTCATCAAAATTAAAATCATTTTTTTCAAACACATTTTCTCAGTAATTCTTTAAATTAACCTTACCAGGACAGTTGGAATATAGATAAAAGTTTGTCTAAATCATTATAGTTCATGCACTTTTGATCTTTTTCTGATACTATATGTTTTGGATGATGCTACTTTGTACAACACATTGGATGATCCTGCAAACTTTTTTGAAAATGCTGATGCTACTAGTTTTGTCATACTTGTATCCAACTTTTTGCTATCCACATCATAATTTATTGCATTTACTTATGTTTTTAAGTGGAGATATTTCCAATAAAGATGCAGTCTTAAAGCTTTAGATTTTGATTTTAATAAAAACTTTTAATGTAATTGAAATGTTTTACAATCAAATTATAACCATGTTTAAATTATATTATTATAATTATATGCATCAAAATTAAAACATATTTCAAATTGAAATTAGTACATACTCCAATTTAAAGACACTGATTAAGTCACTTATGGGAAAACTGGTTCAGAGGAAAGTTAAAAATATACACCTAAGTCATAGGGCCACAATCATGTCATGATAGAGTATAAGTCTATAATTTTTCTTAATGGTTGAAAAAGTAATATTTTAACAGAGTGCTGCAAGTATTAAATTAACTTTTATTGCATAATTAGAATTTTTACTACTGATGGTTACCGTTAGTACACCAAAATAAAAAAAATTGCCAATTATAGGTATTGAACAACACTACATTAAAGTTTTCGAATATTTTTCTAATATTGCATTTTTTTAGCGACAATGAGGTACAATAATTCAAAAACTGTTTAAAACCAATCAAAAACACCTGAAACACAACTGCCCCAAATGTGAGAGCATTAAGTTGATAAAATATTTTCTCATTTAATCATTTAAATGTTGAAAATAGTTTTATTGGTATTGATATATAAAAAATTTAAAATAGTTTTATTAGTATTGATATGCTTCTTAAATTGTTGACATTTTGTTAAAGCGAAAAGTTTAAAAGCGAAAATCTGTTAAAGCAATTTTTTTCTTTAATCCTTTGTTTTTTTTAACAGATTTTTATCTTTTTAAAACATTACATTAGATTAATTTTTTTATTAATAATTTGATAATAAAAAATTAATAACTTATTACATAATTTTATATTAACTCTACTACTTTAATTATTTTTAAATATATATTAAATTTATTGTTAAAATTTTTATCTAATAATTATTACATGTTAATAGAAACCAATAAATTTTTTGCTTTCTTATTAAGAAAACCTGAACTCATTAATTTGCTTGGTTGATTAATATTATACATGACGCAATCTAAGTTTTTTGCTTCACTTATTTAAATTACTTTCATTTTACTGGAGGTGAAAATTCTTTTTTCATAAATGATTGAAGTTCTTATTTTATTATTATTTTAATCAAAGTATTAAATATATTATTTTAACTATAGTATTATGATATAAATTGATTTATGTATTTAACTAAATATATATTTTTTTTCAACTGCTCTTAGTCAATTAGTTTTATTTTTCTTTAAATCTTTTTATTTTTTTTCCTGTAAGTTTTGCCGAAATTTGCAAATAAATGAATAAATAATTTATAGATAAATTTAAAAATTGCAAATAAATTGCAAATAAATGAATTGCAGTTTGCAAAAAAGGAATAAATAAATATGAAAATAAATAAAAAAAGGAAAAATAAATGAAAATTGCAAATAAATGGATAAATAATTTATGATAAATTTAAAATTATTAATTGTTCATTTGAGCTTTTTTTTCATTAATATGGTTTTTTAAATATATATATATATATATATATATATATATATATATATATATATATATATATATATATATATATATATATATATATATATATATATATATATATATATATAAATATGGTTAGAATATAATAAATACGGCTGCATATAAATATAATTATTTCATTATTTCGCTAATCTCTTGTGATCAGTGTCATCAGGTATAATAAATAAAATAGTTACAAAGAAATTATTATAGTAAAAATAAATAACTATTTTATTTATTATACCTGATGACGCTGATCACGATAGATCAGCCAAATATCAAAATAATTAATTTATGTATAAACTTTTTTTAAATACGCATATTTAAAAAAAGTTTATACACAGCCGTATTTATTGAATTCTACCCATATTTTAACGTATAACAAAAAAATGACTTTCGAAGATTATATATAAATATATATATATATATAAATAAATATATACAAATATATATTTATATGTATATATACATATATATATATATATATATATATATATATATATATATATATATATATATATATATATATATATATATATATATATATATATATATAAGTATATAACTTTCTACTTAAAATAAATAACTTTTTACTTTTCTACTTAATAACAAATAACTTTCTACTTTTGTTGCTAAGAAATTTTTAGTGAATTTTTTTTTTAATTATATTTAAGTTAAATTTATTAATAAATATAGATAAATTTAAATTTATTCTATCTAATTTAAAATGATAATAAAATTATCATTTTAAATAATAATAATATTTATTATAATATTTATTTTAGCCCAGTATGCTTTGAAGTAATAAAAGAACCTTACGTCACTAAATGTGGACATAATTTTTGGTGAGAATTTATTTAGTATTTTATATGCATACATACATACATACATACATACATACATACATACATACATACATACATACATACATACATACATACATACATACATACATACATACATACATACATACATACATTCATACATACATACATACATACATACATACATACATACACACAGACATACATACATACATACATACATACATACATACATACATACATACATACATACATACATACATACATACATACATACATACATTCATACATACATACATACATACATACATACATACATACACACATACATACATACATACATACATACATACATACATACATACATACATACATACATACATACATACATACATACATACATACATATATACATTAGAGTGCCTCTAAAAACAACTTTTTTTGAAATTGTCTGCTGCCACCCCCTAAATGTGTTCTATGAAATAAATTAACACTAAATTAAAAAAAATTTTGAAAAAAAATAAATTTTAAGGGTCGCTCAAGTTTGATGCTTAAGGGTCTTGAATGACCCCTAAATTTTTTTTATTCAAATTTTTTTTTAATTTAGTGTTAATTTATTTCATAGAACACATTTAGGGGGTGGCAGCAGACAATTTCAAAAAAAGTTATTTTTAGAGGCACTCTAATATACATACATCAGGCTTGGACAGGAATGGCCTGCAATCAAATGCTATTGCTGACCTTGCAAATGATTTTTTTTTTTTGATGACTTTACCATGGCTGTTTTGATGTTTTGATGATTTAAACCAAGAAGGTTTGTTAAACTTCCTAGATTTAAACATTTCAGAAATGCACTGAAAAAAGATGTTGAACTAAACTTAAACTAGGAAGAATACTAAAAAAAAATTTAGATAAAAAAAAAACAATACCTTACAAAAATGTAAGGAATTGTTTTCTTTTCGAAATGAAAATTTATAACAACTTAAAAATAAAAATCAAACTCGAAACCAGTATTAATTTTTTTTTACGTTTTTAATGTTTGAAATAAATTACTTTGAAACTTATCTTTTGAAACATTTTTTGTTTCAGTTGCAAAAAACACTTTTACAAATTGCTTTTAATGATCGTTTAATAGATAAACAAATTTTATTTAAATTGTTAAAAAGTGTTATATACATTATTTTTAAATTATATAAATATTTTTTTTTTTCACAAAAAGTTGCAAACTTGTTCATAACTTGAAGTAACTTCAAGTTATGAACAAGTTTGTATAAAAAATAAGCTTTTAAACGATTTTTAGAAAGACATAGAAAAATAGTTTCAAATGTTTAGTTTATCATAAAAAAATACTAAGCTAAATACATGTCTACATAAATAATTTAAATATAACATTTTTGGTTAATTTACACAAAATGTTTTTATTTTAAATTAATCATTTAAATTAATACATGTCTACATAAATAATTTAAATATAACATTTTTGGTTAATTTACACAAAATGTTTTTATTATAAATTAATCATTATAATTAATTACATTATTTAAAGCTTTTGCTTAAAATAAAAGTTTTTAAAAAATCAACAATTAAAAGTTATTTATAATCATATTGCAAGCCTTCCTAGGAAACTCATGCGGTTTTTCGTCTTTTATGACCACACACAAATTTTTTATTTTAGACAACTCGGTCACAGCCATTTGCTAGTTTTATAATAATCATTGCGGAAAAAGTTTCAAAAACAAAACAAAAACAAAAAAAACCAACAAAATAAAAAATTAGAAAGAATTTAATAATTTAAATCATTTGTGAACTGTTTTTATTTTTGTTTCTTTAGACTGGTTCTTACATTCAGCAACAAAATTAGAAAAGGTGAAGCAAAAAAAAAAAAAAAATAGTTTCAAGTCTACAATAAAAAGAATGACAATTTATTTAAACTACTATTATTATTTTCTATTTAAATTCAATTTAATTTTTTATTTTATTATTTTTGCTTTCTTTGTTTTTAAAACTTTTTTCAGCAACGCATATAATAAAACTTGCAAACGGCTGTGACCAAGTTGTCTAAATTAAAATACTCATGCGTCAAAATACAAGGCAAAAAACCGCACGCGTTTCCTGGGAAGGTTTGATATTGCATTTAAATTGTTAAAACATCAAAGCAGCAGTGGTCAAATTGTTAAGAAAAAGTACTATAACTGTGGTCAGTTACAGTGTGTGATTGCACACCATTCCTGTCCAAGCCTGATACACACATACATACATACATACATACATACATACATACATACATACATACATACATACATACATACATACATACATACCACAGATGTTTCAAGGCAAACATACAGCTTCTTATTTTTTTTTTTAAATTACAAAGAGGGTGCCACTAAAACTGATGTAGCCTTTACAATATTTGAGATATTTATTTTGTTTTTCTTTACACAATTTAGTTCAGTAAAAAGATTTAAAACATTAATAATTTTTTTCAGCTTTTAACATTAAACCCTCAAACCTTCCTCAATTTCCAATAAACACGCAGAATTGATGATATTTAATAATTTTAGTAATTTCAGGCTTTTTATTAAAAATTATCTGAAAACCTTTATTTTTGATAGTTATTTAATATAAATATTTTAAGATTTATTTAGAGCCAAAAAAACTTTAATTAAAGCTTATGTGAACAGATTCAGAGATAGAAAAAGGCATACCGAATTTCAAATATTTTAGCCATGTTTTTAAATAGTGTAAGAGTCAGGAAAATAGATTTTAAAATGTTTTTTTTATGATATTAAGATATATCATTTTAAGATATTTCAGTACTGTGAATTGATTACCATATATATTTTATATATATATATGGTATATATATATAATATATATATTATATATATATATATATATATATATATATATATATATATATATATATATATATATATATATATATATATATATATATATATATATATATATATATATATATATATATATATATATATATATATATATATATATATATATATATATATATATATAACTGTGTGTGTGCATATTTATAATGATAAGATGACGGAGGGATGGATCATTCTCAGATAAAAAACACAACCGAGTTCAATACAACTATGCCATGACAAAAATCAAAAAATTTTTACTTTTTCTAATCATTGATAAATAAATTATTTTAAATAAAGTTATTTAACTTGGATCAATAAAATTGCTTGAATAAAAAAAACTTTTTTTTTTTTTTATACAAACACAAGTGAAGAATATTGTTTGATAATTATTTTTTCTATTATACAAAAATATAGATTAGGATCAACTTGTTCAAAAACCAATAATCATTTAAAATTAAAAATAGTTTAACATAATGAAAAAATATATTGGATAATAAACATTTTATTTAAAAAATGTAACACATTCGTTCAAAAACAGTTTGAAACTCATAAGTTTATTTATAAATCTTTTATTTTATTTGAATTTAAATCTTCTTACCACATACAAGACAAATTTTTTATAAAATAAATTTTTTCCTTTCTCAGAACACAAAACAGAGTTTTTCACTTTTACAGCATGTAGTTATCAGCTTTGCAGTATGATTCTAAACATTTTAAATTGAGACACAGCTTCTGCTCCTGACATCTAACTGGATGCAACTGATTTAATTCCTTAATTATGCAGTTATGCTAACATTCTTCCTTTTTATTTAACAACTTTATAGTTGTTGTTTAACAAAAAGCGATACAGAAAAAATTAGCTAGTGCATTTTTTGAGTGATATTTCTCTTTGGAAAGCAAGCATGAAACTCAAAAGCAAATCAATTTACATAATTAAAAAGATCACTTATTTCAGGATAATAAAAAAAAAAATTTCTTAAAAAGTATTGGTTGCAACTTATTAAAAATACTAAATACAAATAAAAATCGATTCCTAATCGCTACATCATTAATATCACAACAAAGTTCATATTGGTTTCTAAGACTGTTGAGATCAGAGATTTTGAAGATTTTTAAAAACTTTTTAATATAAGTAGTCACAATCTTAACCATCAATAAAGTGACTATACAAAGTGCTTCATTGCAGATGGATAAAGCAACTTAGATTTCACTGTAACATGTTCTTTACTAATAAGCATTGTCCTCATTTTTTGTTCTCGTCAAATACCAATATTGTACAAAAAAATGAAATAATATTTAATGATAAATAGATGCACTTGATAAAAGAGGATTTAATAACCTATAAGATGTTACTTAAATGACTTAAAGAAAATTTTTTTGCGTAACGTTTATTTTTTACTTCAAAATTTGTCATGCTAAAACAGTTTTTCCAATCAAACTTGTTAGAAAATAGCTTGGGATAAAAATAGCTTATGAACAAGTTTTGTTCATTTAAGGTTGTGTCAATGATTTAAAATATAAACAAAAATTGCGAAAAAAACATTGACTTTTTTTTTGATAAATTAGACTAGTTTGAAACCATTGTAGTTATTGCTAATTTAGACAAGTTTAAAATCATTTTATATAACATAGCTAAAGATATAGAAAATTGTTTTTGGATTTTCATGTTCAAAAAGAGTTTTATAAATTTGGTGGATAAAGTTTTATAAATTTGGTGGATATTGCAAAAATATTACATTTTCCAAAAAAAACAAGTACAAACAAAAATATAAATGTATTAAAAAATGCTTATTTGTAAAAAATTTATCAATTTTCACTAAAAATTACATAAAACAGACATTTTTTTATTTCATTGATAAGTGTTACCATCAAGCATAAAGATAAGTTATAAAGTTTTAGTTGAACCACGACAGGTTATCTGTAAAAATTGTTAAAAAATTGTTTTAAACTATTTATTAAATAGTTATTCTATGAGAATAGTGTTTGAAGTTTTCATCACAAGCTTGATATTGATTAGTGCTGTTCTTAAAGCTTTTCTCTTAAAAATTGAAGTTCCTATTATGTTGTAATCTTCTTATAAGTTCTTATTATAGATTTTTATTTATATTTCAACAAAAAAAAGGACAATGAGTGCCCATTAACACCATTTTGTTAATTGTACATCAACACTATGTTGAGGGTACATTAATACCATGTTGTTAGAATATGAGGGTTTAAATACATTTAAACTAATGCAGAAAGGTGGAAATCTCGAAATGTTTTATCTTTCATATTCTGAAAACATAAATTTAAAGTTAAACTTGACACTGAAGTTAAGGAAAGCTTTCATACTCATACTCTTTTTTTGTTAATTTTTACCAAAAATTGTTTAAAGACTTTTACTAAAAATGAGGTTTCATCCAAATCAATGATTAATTCTTACAACAGTAAAGTTTATCTGAAATGACATTGGAGAAGTTTGAAGGCAGCATTTTTAAAACACTTCAAAATTACTAATGAAGTAATAACAAAGAAATTTACTTATATGAAGTAAAAAAAATTTACTTATATGAAGACTTTTGTAAAAGGAAGTGACCATGATTTAGTTTTTGGTTTAAAATTGACACTAAGTATGAAAGACCTATGACCTATGTTGGCTCAACAGTTTGAAAATCCTCAAGAATAATTTCAGCTGCTATTGGAGAACTTACTCAAACTACCAAAAGTTAAATCAATAGGTGACATTGTGAAACTTTGAATGGTCTATTATAAATTTGAAACAAGTGTTAGAAACTTAAGCTGCCTTGGTGTGGAAACTACTATGTATAAATTGATGTTCATAAATATTTTATTTGATTGAATTCCAACAGAATTAAAAGTTATTATTTTGAGAAAATTCAAACATGAAAATTGGAAATTAAATGATCTTACACATCTTAATCAAGATTGTTACAGTCAGTGAACTGTAATCAAGATTGTTACAGTCAGTGAACTGTAATTGTACTGAAACATTAAGGAAGAAAATAAATGGACTAGAATTATTTTTTGTTTGATTATATCTGGACACAGTGAGTATTTAAAGATGATTATTTATATAGTTAAACAAGTAAAGTGCAACATATACAAGTTTATTCAGCATTGTGTTATTTATGAAATTAAGCTTTAAAAACATGTTTGTTGTAAACTTACATTAAACCTAAGAAGGTTTTGCTTAATTTAAGTTGCAAAAAAGTATTAAAGCTGCAACTCTTGGGTTGTTGAATGTTAAGTTAATTTATAAATTTATTTAAAAAAAATCAAAACAAAAAAAAAATATATTGAATTATCTATTTAAAAAAGAAATTTGATCAATGCAAAATTGGTTATACTGTTTGACCATGCTGGAAGACACTCAGTTGTTTACAGTTAATAGTTATCAAAATATTGATATTCCTATATTGACAAATAGCAACACCCTTACTATGGTGTTACTATCTTTAATGAAAATAATATATGCAATTAGTTGCAAAATGCAATCTGGTCTTGCAATCTAGTTTCTTATTGTGTCACTAATTTCTCACTCTTGATCCCATTCTCTACCATTATTAATGTCTTATCCTTCCTTGTATGTAAAACAGCTGTCATATTTGGGCTGCTCCAAAAAGTCACATTTTTTTATTGATTGTTTTCTTGCTTTCAACTCTGTTTTTTGCCATCTGTTAGTTCTCAAGTGGTAGCTTGCATCCTTGTTGGGAATAAACTTATAAACAATTAACTCATATGTGATGCCAAATATAACATTTTGTCACATGCTGATAAAAACAGAGTAATTGTTTATAAAAAACAGAACAAGTAAAAAAGCGAAGTATATTTATATTAGTCTTTGTATATAAGTCTTAAATTTAAAGTTTTGGCAAGAATAGTTAAAAGGTTTATTAGTAACAAGGTTTTTATTTTTAAATCAAGCAAATTGTTGAAATTTTATATAGGTAATTTTTAAATTAGACGTTTATTTTACAATAGCAAGTTCAAGAATGGTGTTTGAGGTTTATAAAATAAACATGGTGTAACTTTTAACCATAAAATAAGGTGGCACCATGACACTAAGATCATCGTTATTATGTTTTTTTTGTTTGGTTTTACATTTTTTGAAATGCTAATTTACAAATTATTATTTTAAAAGATTTTTTGAGGTTAATATAATTAGGGCAATGATGATAAAAAACACCTTTGATCAACTTGATGTTGAGTTAGCAAAAGTAAAAATGATTGTAAATAGTCAACCTTTGTGATGTGTCTAATTGACATGACAGGGAACTGTTGACTCTCATTCGACTGAGGCCAGAAGGTTCCTTAGTCAAATAGGACTGGTTGATACAAAAGTTCCTGACCCCATTAAAATTAGCGTGTTTAAACACTTTAAACATTTAAAGACTTCATTTGATTTTTTTAAAACAGTTTTTTTTTAATTATATTAATATGAACTAGGGAAACACCATTTTTGTATTAATTTTAAAATAGAATTCAAATAAATAATATGGTTTTGATTAAAGAATAATTAGCTTTAAAGTTGTTGGAAAAAGGGTGTAGTAATCTACTACTTGATTGTTTACTACACTATACTATACATCTACAATAGATAGGGAAATTTGAGGAGCTATGTATATTAAGAGAAAATGAAAATGTTGTAACCTTAAAATGCAATATGAAGCAATTATTTCATTAGGCTCTTCAACTGAACCTTGTTCTTTATTGATTTTTATCATTGTATCTTGTTACACAATATTCTTGTTATAGATTATTATATTTTTGTTATATAATAAAATATATGTAGAAATCAATAAATATAGTAGCATGAAAATTTATTTGAAAAAATATAAATTTACTTTATTTTATTATAAATTAATCAAAATTTTGCTGATCTATTATGATCAGCGTCATGAGGTATAATAAATAAAAGTCCTTTTTAAGAAAATTGTTGTAATAAAAAGAAACAGTTAAAAAGATAACATTAAAAAAAACATAATAAAATACAAAAAATGTTTTTCAAATGATGATTTAACTAGTCTGATAAAAAATGGCCCTTTTTTGTCACATCACTATCATCTGTCAGAAGTCTTTTTTGTCACATCACTATCATCTGTCAGAAACTTTTTTAATGCTTCCCAACTTTAGTTCTGTTGAACTTTTTTTCTGCTTACTTCTAGTGATTCTCTTATTTTGGGAACATGATACTCTGGAGCATTTTATTGAATTTAATTTATTGAATTATTGAATGCAACCAGTAAAAAGTTTCATGACATGATTTGAAATGTTCAGTAGCACCCAAATTGCCCCATTTTCTTTTTATACTATCTTTTTGGTTTTTAATACATCTTGATATGACTTTCTTTTTAGTAAATCAATGTATTTAGAGTTGCATGCACATATTACTTGGTAGAAAATATTTCTACCAAATAAAAAATGTTCATGTTTATATATATATATATATATATATATATATGTATATATATATATATATATATATATATATATATATATATATATATATATATATATATATATATATATATATATATATATATATATATATATATATATATATATATATATATATATATATATATATATATATATATATATATATATATATGTATATATATCAGGGAACTTTTAGTTTTTCGGATATCCAAAAAGTTTTCCATACCTACAAGTTTAGGCGTACATTTTTATAATACATTTGCTTTTAAACTTTTTCTCTCATCACTCATACAAAAATTAAAAAAAGTTAGGAAACAAAATTTGAAACAACTCAGTTAAAGGGATCGTCCATAAATTATGCAACGCTAAATTTCACTAATAAGCAAAGTTAAAAAGGTCAAAAGTTTTCCCTCGCAGAGCCTTTCGATATATAAAAAATCAAAACAACGCATTAAGTATAATGAAAATTGTCGCGTAAAAGAGTTTGAGATCTCCTACTTCTGTTTTTTAAATAAGTTTAGCGTTGCGTAATTTATGGACAATCCCAAAAACAAAATTAAGAGGAAAATTAATTC